TTCCAGGCCAGTAGTGGTCCTGAACACACCTCCTTTGCTTGGGAAGAAAGCAAGACAGGGAAGTTTGGGTAAGGAGAAGGGACAGGGCAAGAGGGACTGTTGTTGTGATGGTTTGTGACTTAGATTATGAGCACCTGGATTTCTGTCCACCAGCAGTATGACCTTGGGAAGTTATGATTTCATATCTGTAAAGTGGGCCATCAGCCAGTTTGGGCCTGGCTGACCTCACAGAGTGTTGTGAGGGTCCAGTGAGCCCATAGCTAGGATGTGAAATTATTAGCTAGTGACTGTGTGCACTGGTTTGTGGGACTGAACCAGTATATGCTAGTGGACCCAGCATATACATTACAAGTCATGCTCCTTTCACTCTCGGAAGTGTCCCAGTTCAGATACTCATAGGCTTGCCTACCATCAGCCAACATGGTGAGGCCTTTGGAGAGAGTGAGGTTGAGTGACTGCTGCCTCTTCCATCCCTGGAGCAGGAGGCAGGAAGGGTTTAAACCAGAGCACGGGCTTGGGTAAAGGGCCTGGCCAGGTCCCAGTCCCACCTCTCCTCCCCAGGTCCCACCAAGCTTCTCCTCCCTTTAAGCCTGGCCTCACAGAACAGGTCAGGGTTTCTCCAGACTCAGGAGGATCCCCTTGGCGATGAATGTGAAGGGAAGGGGCATCCATTGAGCCCTACTGTGTGTCTTAGATGAACTCATAGCCAATATCTAAATTTTAGTTCTTTCCAACAGCCTGGAAAGACAAGTGTGTGCATCCCCATTTTGTACCTGAGGAAACTGTCTTGGAGGAGTGAAGTTGTGTGCCCAAGGACACACAGCACTGAATCTCTGGGCTTTGGAGATAAAGCCAAGAGGGCCATGGGCTGTTCCTGGAGAGAGGCAAAAGCCAGTGGCTCCTGAATCCAAGGAGGTCCAGGCAGGACCCACCCCTGCCCTCTCCCAGGGCCTGTCACTGTACCTCTTACAGAACAGGTGGCAGCTTTGCTGAACTACTCCCTCCCATTGGCTGGTAGGCTTCATTAGACTCTATGGAAGGCACAGAGAACCACGGGAACAGAGAGTAGAGGTGAGGCATTGGCTCAGGAGTCCTGGAAGATGAGCTTCTTTATGGCCTCTTCCCAGCAGTAACTGCTCCCCCCAGGTCCAGCCCTGGAAGGAGCCAGCCCTAGGAAAGGGGAAGGGAACGGGGCTGGGACTTCAGCCTTTCTCAAACACATAATAGGGTGACCACTGAACATCAGCAGCAGTCACTGGGGCTGTGAGTGCAAATGGGTCTAGTCCCATGCCTTTCAGTTGGGGAAACTGAGGCCAAGAGGAGGCAGGAACTGTGAAATCACTCTTGAAGTAGAGGCAGGATGAAGCCTGGAATCTAGGACTCTGACCCTACCTAGGCTCTGCTCTCCCTGTCCCACCTTTCTGCCATCCTCTCCCCCATTACCACAGCCCTTGTTGGAAAAATCTGTGTTTCATACAACAAACAAACCCTGAAGATTTTTTAGAAGACACTGTCCACATAAGGCAGTCTATTCTCTGAAGCCCCAGTTTTATGATCACATTACTGGCCATGAGTTTATCTACCAAACATACTTGACAATTGCTGACCACTATCCCCTCTCTCCCATCCCAGAGGAGGTTTGGGTACCACTTGGCAAAATAATTACTTGAGAATCCAAATCCAATAAATACTCAATCTATCTCCCTTTCTCCCTTCCCTCCCCCTACCTTTTCTGTTTCTCCTGGTCTCACATCAAACCAGAAGTGAAATAGAGATGTGTCCTAATTTAAAGAAAATGTTAGATGAAAATGTACTTCCTTTTATTATATAGGGAGCTATTTTTAAATGTATATAAATAAACATTTTTAATTTGCTCAAACGTTCAGACTTTATCGCTGAAGAGCATGTGTTTTGTTACACCAGCAAGTGGTGACTGTGAAAAACGAGGTTCCAGACTGCGAGTCCATCTGGTGTGATTCAGAGAAAGTGGTTCTGGAGCAGCCACGCTGGGACAGGGGTTGCCCTCCAAAGCCGCCCTGTCCTACACCTGCTCTGCTCCCAGGTTCTGCATCCCATGGGCTGGGCATCTCATCCGCTCACAGCCAGGCTGCTTTCCTTGCTGGAGACTTCCTCTATGAGGACGCTCCACTCCCAGCCTTCCCTTGAGCTGTGGCCCTCTCCGCTCAGCCCACACCAATCTCTTGGCAATCAGTGGTGGGACTGGCTCCTCAAGTCAAGTTCTCAACGCGGTCTTAGAGGTCTATAGAAACATAGGGCGGATGTGCATATTTCTGATTAGCTAGAGACCATGACCAGGCCTGGGCCTTCCACAGCCAGGCCAGGCCAGATCTAACTTTTGCCTGGAGCCCTGGTCACCAGCACCAGTGCAGGACCTGTCACCCAGCAGAGGGGAAGCCTAATATCACTATGTGCAAAGCTGAAGCAGCATTGGCCATCCCTGATAGGAAAGCTGGAACACCTCTTGGCATTGGGTGGCTGCAGGGTCTGACAGGACATCAGGGGTCCCTTTCCTGAGCCATTATAGCACCCATCCTCTGGTGGGATTCTCTGCGTGACAGGGAAAGCACTACCTCACAAGACAGCCCAAGGCACTGCTTGGAAGTTGTCTTAGACAAAAGTTTCCTTTTCCATGGAGCTCAAACACCAATTGACAGGTGATGGCCAACCCAACCTGGGGGCCCCACCCAAACCCCTGACCGCCTGTGTAGGTGGCAGCTGCAGCTCATCCAGCCTGCCAGG